AGCCGGTCTTAGTGCCACTGACCTGGCTACTGGTGCTTTCCCCTGACTGGTCATCCCCACAATGGTATCCAAAGTGGTAAACTTGTTTTCGAGGGGAATGGCCACAGGGGATTCCTGCACTCTCTGCCTACTCCCTTTGCCTTTCCTGGTGGTCACCCAGTTACTCTCTGCCTGCACCTTAGGTGTGACCACGTCACTAAAACTCTTGTCTGTGGTGCGCTTAGCATCTCGGATGATCTTGAGTGCATCCAGCTCCAGCTCCAGTTCCCTAACGTGGTCTCCCAGGAGCTGCAGCTGGGTGCACTTCCCACACGTGTCGTCATCAGTCTCCCTGAGCACCCACATCCTGAGGGAGGAGCATGCCAGTGTCCTAACTACCATCTTAAATGTTCCAAAAGACTAAAGATGAAACTTAAAAGGACTTTGTCTGAACTTACCTGTACTTTTTGCTGAGCCACTGCTCACCGAAGCCTCTCGAGCCAATGCCTTGCTTCTCACTCTGCTACCAACAAATTTTCAATAGCATGTCTCTCTCCTCATAGTTAATACAATCCAAACCAGGCAGCATCGTGGTAAATCGTTTCTGTACCCTCTCCCAAGCCTCCACATCCTTCTGGTAGTGTGGCCACCAGAACTGTACACTGTTTTCCCAAAGTGGTCTAACTAAAGTTCTATACAGCTGCAACAGTCCTTACGGTGGATACAAAGATGTGCAAAATTGTAGAAGCCAAGCCTGTATTTGTTAATTCCACACTACCGCAGTGCTCCAGTAAATACTGCTTAATGTATCCAATTGCTACAACTGAGTAGTTCTGTATCTAATGTGTATCAATTTATATGGTGATTCATTGACGAAATGACAGGAAGTCTGTCAATAAAATGTTCATGTATTTGTGGACTTCCCGATAATCATATTTTGGATACCGCACTATAGAAGACAGAATCCTGTATCACATTATGTACAGAGATAGTAGGAACTGCAGATGCTGGAGAATCTGAGATAACAAGGTGTAGAGCTGGATGAACACAGCAGGCCGAGCAGCATCAGAGAAGCAGGAAAGCTGATGTTTCGGGCCTAGACCCTTCTTCAGAAAAAGGTCTTCTGAAGAAGGGTCTAGGCCCGAAACGTCAGCTTTCCTGCTCCTCTGACGCTGCTTGGCCTGCTGTGTTCATCCAGCTCGACACCTTGTTATCTCACATTATGTACAGCTGTGTACATCCTGTCAGTGCAAATGAAGTATTATGCCCATTGGTACTGCCTCTTCCTCGCTGTCCATCCAGCTGTCGGCTGTCCTACTGACTGCTTAGATCACCACTGGCCAGTCCCACTTGCTGATGGCTGGTCATGCTCACGGTCCATCTGAACAGCCCCACGCAGTGCTGCTCACGCCCTCCCTTTCCACTGTGAACCCCACTTACCACTGGCCTGCTCCCTTCAGAGATGGCTGCTTCCCCAGCCCCAACCCTCACCCTGCTGTCTTGGTTGCCATCCCCATCACTCTGGTAGCTACAAATTCTATCGCATTAGCTATCAAGTCTGCACTTTGTATTGTGAGATTGTGCCACTGCAACACTTAAAAATCCAACGCTACAAGGAGCAGATGTCACCACGGTTTATAATTAGGCAGTGAGCAAGTTCTCTTGCTGGCAATGATATCACAGGCTTTACAACTGCATGGCTGTGAGTGCACGCCCTGTAGTTGCGATCGTAATGAACACAGCCTTTTTAAAATGGTGTATGCCCATCCAGCAACACACAGTATTAAAGCTGCAATGTCTGCTCATGCTCAGCTGACCTTTCGACCTACTAAGACTGCGTTCTCATCTTCAGCCTCACTGGAAAGTCACTTTGAATAGACTCACCCACTGTTCACTTAACATCATTTAGACTTGACATCCTTCAATGAATTATTTTTTCCAAAAATATACTTCATTCATCATATTTGTAGAAGTATATTACAGAACTGTTCAAACTTGACAGAGTGCAACTCAGATCAGTTTCTTTGATATTACATAAACTGACTGACTTCACTTGCCATTAAAGATTATATTTGCAGGGTACATTTACATTTCATCCCCAGCATTGTCTGCGCATACAGCCCAATTTTTACACCCTTTCTAGTCCCTTGGTATATGATAGTAAGAATGCCTCAGAGATTGGTTTTTCCCCATTGAGGCTTTACAGCAGCTGCCCCAAGCTTTAGTGCATCCTTCAGCAGGTAGACCTGCATCTTGGAACCCACCAGTCTCCAATATTCCACTTTGTCATTTCTTTGCACTGGAACATTTCACCAAGTTGACAGTCTTCTAGCAATAGTTAATGTTTATCTTGGTGTGAATCCCTGGAGCACTGAGTCCTGTGTCAGAATGAACCTTGACAAAACCTATGACATCTCTTTCCAAACTTGCTAATGCAAAGGTGCATTCCAGAAGGAGATGGACGATCATCTCTTCCCTATCAAAGGCAGCATGCAGAGGCAGTGCAACCCTCAGCAACCCAGAAAGATCTAATGGGGAGGGCCCTTCTCACCACCAGCCAAGCAATGGACTTTGTAGTTTTAAAGGAACATATGCCTAATATTTAACAGAAAAATATTACATTGTGGTAGATTTTTGCCATGGTCACTTGGTCAGAAATCTGACAGCCTTGATTTTTCATGGATCATGTCCTCTATTCATTCCTTTTAGAATGAGGCCAGGAGGCTTAATAAAGAATGGGCAACTTTCTCAGATTACTGCAAGTACTCTGAAAGTGGTCATTTACCCCGCTGTTCAGAATGTTATCCTATTTCAGTTCTTGTAAAATAATACATCCTCTGACTTAGCATGAGAAATGCCATGGACAATTCACTAATGTTTAACACATGACACAGAAGTCATTTACAGCTGGTTTGAATTTCTGCCTGTGTTCTTAAATCATTTTGTTTTGTTCGCTGTAGTAGTACTTCAGAAATTTATGTTGTGGAGTTTTGGACTAGGATACAATTTGGCCAGCTTTGCTTTGTGTGAGACATTAGTTAGCCAAAAGAACACCCTGACTTAATTGGTCTTTTCTCATATTTCACCTTCAGTCTTCTAAGTGTATTTTTAAAAGTAGATTAAAGCTCAATACTCAGTCAGAACCACTGTGGCCTGGCCTTTTTCTCGCTTGGTGGGTAGTGTGAGTAAGGAAATTTCCCTGCTTTAGCAGACCTGCCATGGGAGAAACTCTCCCAAAGAGATCTCCTTGGTTCTCTAGCTCCTCTTTTCAGTTCTTTCATTAGACTTTAGGCTCTCTGGCCCTTAGTATTAACACTGCATGCTCACTCAACCCTCCCCCACTTGGCCAAACCCCATATCATTCCATGCTCCATGCCAACCCATTCCCACATGGCCCCTTATAGCCCCATGAACAATGGACAGACCTCAGGAACTATGTTTAGGTGGAATTAAAGGTCTAAACATTTATTACAGGCTTTACTATAGTACAAAAATTCTGAAATCCTCTTCAACACTTTTAAATCTTCTCAAGCACTTAATCTCTTAGAAAGACAAAAAGAGTTATATATTTGTAATCTCGCAGCAACGTGATCTAATCCTTTAATAAGCTATTTCAGCTGTCAATCAAACTGTGAACTTCAAATCCTCCCTGCTGAAATAATTATAGTTCATGGAAAGCAACCAATAACTAAGAGAGTTTGCAGTCTGTGAACCAGTTGCCCTGTGCCTTGAGTGTGGAATTGAAAAGTACCTGGAGAAGAGAGATTGACAAACAGTAAGCCCTGACAAGCAAAAGGATCCTTTCAGCGAACCCCTGTGGATAGGAACCATTGAACTGCCTTCCCAACATTTTTTTTTCCACCCTTAATAACAATTAAACTATTCGCATCTGTCGTGGGGGGGTGACTGTTAGAATTTTAACCAGTAGGATTAGATGACAACGGTTCATAGTTGTTTATTTTTATCTATAACCTGTTTATTTGTAATAAAATGTGATTGTTTTAAGTACAGAAACCTGATCTGCGTTTCTTGTTTGCTTAGGTGTAAAAAATGCCTGGTAAATTGGGGAGTTCTGCATACTTTGATAAGATACTTAACTTTTACGATGACTCCAGGAATAGGAGGAATCATGCTACCAAGAAAGGTGTGACATCAGGACTGAACACTTCCCTGGATCCTTGCCCCTTCACTCCTGCAGCTATAATGTCTTTGGACAGATGAATAAAAATAGTCAATATGGAACAAAGCAGCTCTGGAAATCTTTGATAACACAGTGTGGAGCTGGAGGAACCCAGCAGGCCAGGCAGCAGATAACAGTGTGGAGCTGGAGGAACACAGGCAGCAGGCCTGCTGTGTGCCTCCAGCTCCACACTGTGTTATCAAAGATTTCCAGAGCTGCTTTGTTCCATATTGACTATATTGACTGCAGTTCTTGCTATCTCTAGAAATCTCTGCTTCTATTTCCTCAGCTGATTAAAACTAGTCTGGAAGTTCAGGGATCAAAATTTGTGTTGTGACTTAGATATTCCATTCCATTACTAGATACCAACTCCACAGTCTTCTCAAACTGCTAGAATCTAGTGTCTCTTCTGCAGTGTTTTGAATTTCTAAAGCCCAAAAGATTTCTATAGATTTGTTTTGTTGGGAAAAGCTGTTCCCTCACTGGCCTAAATCAATAAGAGTGACAGCAGACTTTTGCAGACCTCCATGTTTGGGAAGTTGAAAGAAGAAATTGATGCACAGCAGCATGCAAATAACAATACACTTACTATGTAGAAACGTAGAGGATTGAATAATGGGAACTCACTTGTCAGATCTGACTTCTGGTTGTTTCTTGGGCATTTCTGCTCTATGCAGTTGTAACAGTGGCCTTGAGCTGGCTCTGAGAAAAGCAGTTTTTTCCCTTTTTTTTGACAGAGAAATGACTTCAGCACCCACTCAGCACAATTTAAGAATCACACTTGTAAGTTCTAAGGACAAATTCCTTGATGATGAATATGCTTTGTTTTTGGGTTAAACAGGTACTGGTTGTGGTACACAACTAAGACATATGTTGGTGGTATCGCTAAAAAAGTATACGAACGCTTGCGGAAGTGGCAGGTCAACTTTGTGGTGCTGCAGAGAAAGAAGGACCCAGAGCAAATTTTCCTGCAATGTGTCCCTAAACACAAGGTAGGGCTTTATTCCATAAAGAAGAAAGATTTGTATTTAAATCATACCTATCAATGCCTCAGGGTGTCCCAAAGTGCTTTACAGCCAATGAAGTACTTCTAAAGTGCTCAGTTATTATCAGTTAACTGGACTGCTGGTTTGCAACACAGAATGATGCCAACAGTGTGGGTTCAATTCCTGTACTCTCTGAGGTTACCAAGAAGGACTGCCCCTTACTACCTCTGCCCCACCTGAGGCTTAGTGACCCTTAGGTTAAACTGCCACCAGTCATCACTATTCAGCTATCAAGTCTATGCTTTGTATTGTGAGATTGTTCTAATCTGGACAAGTGATGTGAGGTAATGCATTTTGAGAGGTCAAATGCAAGACAAAAGTATACTATAAATGGCTGGACCCCTAGGAGCAGAGGGATATGCAGATGGATCTTGGGATCCAAGTCCTTAGCTCCCTGAAAGCGATAACGCAAATGGATAAGGTGGTAAAGAATTCAGACAGCATGCTCGCCTTCGTCATTCCAACACTCAGTATAAAAGTTGGCAAGTCGCATTGCAACTGTGTAAATCTTTCTGAGGAAAGGTCACCCAACCAGAAACGTTAACTCTGATTTTCTCTCCACAGATACTGCCGGACCTGCTGAGATTTTCCAGCAATTTCTGTTTTTGTTTGTGCATAAAAATTAAGTTGGGCCACATTTGGAGTATTGTGTGTAGCTCTGGTTGCCACACTAGGAAGGATGTGGAGGCTTTGGAGAGGGTACAAAAAAGATATTGCGTGGATTGGAGTGTATTAGCCATGAAGGAGAGGTTGGCCAAACTTATAATGCTTTCTCAAGAGAGTCGGAGGCTTAACGGTGACCTGATCGAAGTATATAAAATTATAAGAGGCATGAAAAGAGTGGATAGTCTGAGTCTTTTTTCCAGGGTGGAAATGTCAAATAATAGAGGTCATAGGTTTAAGATGAGAGGGGTAAGTTGAAAGGGGACGTGTAAGGAAAGTACACAGCGTAGTAGGTGACTGGAACATGCTACCGGGAAAGGTGCTTGAAGCAGATACGATAGCAAAGTTTAAGGGCATTTAGATAGACACATGAACAGGCAGAGAATAGAAGGATATGGACTGTGCGCAGGCAGATGAGATTAGTTTAGAATAGAATCATAGAATTCTACAATGTGGAAGTAGGCCATTTGGCCCATTGAGTCCACACTGACCATCTGAAGACCATCCCACCCAGACCTGCCCTATCCCTGTAACTCTATATTTCCCATGGCTAACCCACCCAGCCTGTGCATCCTGGACACAATGGGACAATTTAGTATGGCCAATCCACCCTAGCTGCACATCTTTGGACTGTGGGAGGAACCTGGAGCACCTGGAGGAAGCCCATGCAGACACATGGAGAATATGCAAACTGTACGCAGGTGGTTGCCTGAGGATGGAATCTAACTTGGGTCCCTGGTGCTGTAAGGCAGCGGTGCTAACCACTGAGCCACCATGCCACCCATCATGGGCAGCACAGAGATGGTGGGCTGAAGGGCCTCCTCCTGTGCTGTCCTGTTCTGTGTTCTGTAATCCAACACTAAAAATTCAACAATACAAGGAGCAGATGTCTCCAAGACGTCTGAGGGAGCAGCCCTATGGTGTGGTAAGACCATGGCACTTTACCTTTTACTTATACAGATTATTTGTTGTTGCTATATGGAAAATGAAGCTGACAATTGTACTTACTGCAAGGTGCAATATGACAATAATCTATTAATCTGCTTTAATATGGGTTTAAGGACAAATATTGGCCAGGACAACTCCCTGTGATAAATCAGACAGGCCTCAATTTAATGTCTGTTCGAAAAGAAAAAGAAAAAATGGAAAATTGCACTTTTTTGAATCTTTCAAAATCACAGGCCACCCAAAAGAACCTTACAACCGATGAAGTAATTTTTGAAGCATAGCCACAATAAAAATATATGAAATGTGGCAGCCCATTTGAACTGAACATCTCATAACAGCAATGTAACAATGATTAGATCATCTATTTTTCTCTATTGATTGCAGGTTAAATAGTGGTCAGGATGTTAGGAATAACTCACTTTTTGTGTTTGAAAGCTTGCCATGCAATCTTCTACACCCACCTGAGAGGGTGATTGTCGGTTGCAGTTTAACATTTGATCTCAAAAATGGCACCTCCATCATTGCAGTGCATCCTCAGTACTGCATTAGAGAGCTGACTATTATTTTTCTGTTCACATTTCTGGAGTACCACCTGAACCCGGAAAAATGTGACTCAGGGTGAGAGTGCCGTGTAGCCTTCCATGCAGAAAAATAGTACCTTCAGGATCACAACATCCCCTCAGTCTTGCACTGGGATGTCAATTTAGATACTGAGCTTCAGTCTCTAGAGTATGACTCTAACTTGGTCAAGAGAACTTCCCTTAAGCCATCGATGACAATGTTTTACACCCTTCATGAGAAAGACCGAAGTTCAACATTGCAAGCATTTTCTTTATTCTTTCATGATGTGGGCATCATTTGTTGCCCATCAGTAATTTTTCTTGAACTGAGTGGTTTGCTAGGTTATTGCCAAGGCCAGCTAAGAGTCAACTACATTGCTGTGTGAAATAATTCCACAAAGGCCATTTCCCATTGCCAAATCACCCTATATTTACAAATGAACAATCCTTGACTTTAGTCCTGCCTTGTTCAGAGTCAGCTAATCAGAGTGTCAGCATCTCACCTCTGACACTCCCCTTTTTATCTGTCAGCCAGATGTCCCTGATTGGACTGGATTAACAGCCCATATTCTGTGAGGTTTAGCTGGCTGATCTTGTTGCAATCATGAGACTGTGGGTCTAGAGTCACAGAGGTAGGCCAGTTGGCAGTTTTTTTTCTCTAAAAGACATTAGTGATCTAGATCATTTTTACAACAAACAATGATAGTTTCTTGCGTGCCATCACTGTGACTAGCTTTAAATTCCAGATCTTACTAATTGAATTCCACCAGCTGCCACTAGATCTGAACCCTTGTCCCCAGAACATTAGCCTGAATTTTCATAGAATCCCTACAGTGTGGAAACAGGCCTATCAGCCCATCAAGTCCACACCGACCCTCAGAGCATCCCACCCAGATCCATACTCCTATAACCCACCTAATCGACACATCCTGAACACTATGGGCAATTTAGCATGGCTAATCCACGTAGCCTGCACATCTTTGGACTGTGGGAGGAAACTGGAGCACCTGGAGGAAACCCACACAGACACAGGGAGAACGTGCAAACTCCACACAGACAGTCACCCGAGGGTGGAATTGAACCCAGGTCCCTGGCTCTGTGAGGCAGCAGTGCTAACCACTGAGTCATTGTGTTCTAGGTTACTGGTGCAGTAATATTACCATTACACCACTGTCTCCTCTGTAGGCTTGTCTATATTTCACAACACTTGTGAGATTGCCTCTGCCTGTGTTTTTTTTTTAATTTGACCATATATTGCTCAGGTTGAAACTGTTTGCAAGAAGTTGGAGACCAGGTATCGTGGCCCTGAACCATCCGATATTGTCGAAATGTTTGAAGGGGAACAGTTTTTTGCTGGATTTGAAAAAGGGATTAAAATTGATTCAGGTAATGTCATAAAATTTAATGGTGTTGGGTTGAAACATGTTTGAGCCTTGCGAGGTTCTCAGTCCCAGTGTGATTTGGTTTTGGAGACTGTAGTTCTGGTCTAATAATAATATCCATTTAAAAAGCATCAACATTAAAATTATATACTGTCACATGCAAATTGATAGTTCCGAAGAGCTGTATTTCCCTGATCCATTAACTATAATTCATGTACTTTCTAAACAGACAGACAGCTGGGAATATTTATTATACTGCAAGTGAAGAGCAGTATATTTTCTGTCAATATGCCATAGGCTGATTGTCCAGCTGTTAATTCAAGATCACATATTGAGAACTGGGAAAGGCAAAGCTTAATATATTCCAGATGTCTATCACCAAATCAGATGCATCCATTCTGGAACAAAGCCAGGGAGGTTGAATGAAGATCATTTTGAGGCAGAGACTCTCCGTTTGATCACTGCTTTCGTTTCAGTTGCAGGAGAGAATGATTCCAGGAAGCATTGAATATTCTTTATAAAATTGCATTTACAGCTGCTTAAAAACTGAGGAAAGCTTGTGTTTCAAGGCTAGAGAACATTTTTTTCTTAGTTTTTTTACTCAGAAATGTACAACAAAGTAAAACTGAAGTACATGATGTAATCATCAGAACATGATCAGGATTATGCTATAGTTCATAACTCCCTGTGTGCATATATACTGGATATCTTTACATTAATGCAGCCTATGGGCCACATCCCATAGTGGTTTCTCTACTGCTCATGTTTTGGTGTTTATACACCAGCTCTGGGGGAAGAGGAAAAGAGAGACATCAATAAAAAGTGAGTCAACGTGCTGCTGCACAAATTGGTGAGTGTAAACCAGTTTGTTTGCTCAAAATGTTGACTTCAGATTTGAGATTCTGACTCAAATCATGTGATGCATGTTTTAGCGCATTCATGATCACTGTTTTCTTCCCCATGTTGTGACATGAGACAATGTGGCGTGCTGAGTTATTTTGGATCATGCAATATGAATAAAGCAGCATCCTCATTTTTATATAATAGTGTTCCCAAATAACAACCCTTGGTGGTGTTTTTTGATGTACATACAGAGTGAACTGAACAAACAACATGTTAGGATTAGCCAATTGTTGATAAATTTAAATTGAGTTTTAAAATAATCAAGCCAGGCAATTACCAATACCCAGGCTTAGGAAGGAGCAGAGAAAGTGTGCATTGGAGTCATAATTAATTGATTTCTAGTTAATATTTTAAATGTTCATTTTTGCACTGTAATGATCCCAGCTACACAAGTCTGATTCTAGACTGAAATCTAGCTTGATAGATAATATTTTCAGTCTTTTGTGATTTTAATGAGGTTGTCTTTCACTGAAACACAAACACACAAGCTTCAGATTCAGATTTAACAATAAAGCACGAGTTTATTGCACAAAAATTGATGATAATATAGATCAAACCAAACTCTTCATACAGTACTAGTTTAAATATTTAGAAACAGACAATAAATACAATCCCATTAATCCCAAAAATCTCCCTTGTAGTACTTCTGTCCACATTTAAAAGCTTAACCTAATGGTGACTTCAATGCCTCCTAATTAGAACCTGATATCCTCTTCGTGAAGGCTTCTGAGCTTAGACTTTCTCAGCTTCAATTAACCTCTTCAGGCTTTTGACCAAACACTTCTGGTCTGCACCTTTTAAACTAAACTCCTTACACTGAGGTAACCTGTTTCTTAACAGTCCTAAATTACCTAATTTTCTCAGGTGCTTTACACATCCAGTTTCAGCCAAGACCTCCACAAAACTGCCAAATTGAAACATCTTTCTAAGTGCTGTGTGTTTCCCCAGACCAAAAATAATCTCCACAATCATTCTACATGAAAGCCTAATGAAACACTCTATTAATTTTGTTCATTTGTAAACTCCCCCAGTTAAAGGAAAACCCCATTAATCTCCAAAAATTTTCCCTCTTATGCTGTGTTTTAAAAGAAATCACCAGGACTAAATTAATCATTAAACCCCTTCAGACAAGCAAAACGCATGTGCCACTTGAGCAGAATTCAGGAATCTAAAATAAGTGATGGTAAAATTTTCATGAATCACACACACTATAGTACAGTAGTGGATCATTAAATGCTTGCTTTTCTTTCAGATCGACCAGACTGTGTAGATGGAAGGATTGGGTTCACCTTTTACTCACATCTGAAGAACAGTAAGGAGGTTTATGTCTCCACTGAAGCTGACAGAAAAACAAAAGCTGTGAAAGGACAGGTAAATGATGTCCCCTTTTTCAAAAAATAGAATCAAGATAGGGCAGCACGGTGACTCAGTGGTTAGCACTGCAGCCTCACAGCGCCAGGGACCTGGGTTCAATTCCAGCCCCAGGCAACTGTCTGTGTGGAGTTTGCACATTCTCCCCCTGTCTGCGTGGGTTTCCTTCGGGTGCTCCGGTTTCCGCCCACAGTCCAAACATGTGCAGGTTAGGTGGATTATAGGGGGATGGGTCTGGGTGGGATGCTGCAAGGGTTGGTGTGGACTTGTTGGGCCGAAGGGCCTGTTTCCACACTGTAGGGATTCTATGATTACTGAGACTCTACATTGCCACAGTCAAAAGCTCAACAGTTTATTGATAGGTAATATTTACTCCCAAAATCCAGGATAGCTTCTTAATTTTGGACCATGCTGTATAAGAGGTGCTTGTTCTGGTGATATATCGTGTGTAAGCTGTTTGAGAGCCCTGGGATGTGCAACACAATTCTCAAATTGTCAACAGCACCACTGGGTCTCAATGCCTGCAGACTCTGAACCAAACCTGTATATCACATGCTTTCTGTACTCTAGTTGTTAGAGACGTACTGCAAGAGATAAATATCGACAATGGGGAGAGCTTACCTGTTAAAATTTGTGACTTGGAATCTTTGACAATTCTGTAGGTCCAGTGCAACCAGTCCAGAGAGTAGCTGAAGAGTTGTACCATTATCAGGCAGAGATGTCTATCCAAGTCGGTCAAGAGGTGGACCACAGACAGTCCTGAGGGATCATCCACTGAAAATCACGTTGGTGATTATGGGCCGTTGTTGCAGGAGAAAAGTCAGGGAACTCAGTTGTGGAGATTGGAGGCACAATGGTGGGATCCAGGGAGGGGAAAAGTTGTGAAGTGGGGGAGACAGTAGTGCATCAGAAGGAAAGAGTTGCCAATTGCAGAAGGGCGGTTAATCGACACTCAGCACCCCCTGGGGACACAGTGTATTGGTATATCTGGCACAATGCCAGGCTTTGCCTGGGACTCTGTGTGTATGGTGGGGAGATGAATATTGAAATGAGCGCCTTGAATGGGCATGTGGGCAAGATCAAAGCTGATGGGGTCGACAGGGAGGGCAACTAAGAAGGGGAAAATGAAAATTTGTTTGCAGGGGAGAAGATTCACCTAGACTGAGAGGCTGAGTCTGTGACTCCATCTGTGATTTGCAACCATTGTTTCCTTCCATCCTTATCCAAACAGTAAGTGCGTAATGTAGATGAAAATGGCTTCCACCATACCTGGAGTGGGTGTAGTGAGTGTGTTGTTCTCTGAGGGAGGGGGCTCCATTTTCCTGCAAGCTGAGGCCCTCCACAGGGCAATAACATTAAAGAGATACTCACAAAGTACAGGTGAAAGACACCTATGATCGCAAAGCGTTATTCTTGAACCTTACGTATGACCAGGGGTCACAGTATGACGATTCGGAGTAGACCATTTAGGACGGAGATAAGAAGACATTTCTTCGCCCAAAGAGTGGTGACCCTGTGGAATTCATTACCACAGGAAGTAGTTGATACCAAAACACTGAATGTATTCAAGAGGCGACTAGATATGGGGTGAATGGGATCAAAGGTTATGGAGAGAAAGCAGGATTAGGTTATTGAGCTGGACAATCAGCCATGATTGTGAAGAATGGCAAAGGAGGCTCGAAGCGCTGAATGGCCTCCTCCTGCTCCTATCTTCTATGTTTCCATGCTTACCTCCTGTGTGGAGTGTAGATCCTTGCCCCAAGCAATGGTGACCACATCCTGCAGCATCAGGAACCCATTCCATTAATGGCTATGGTGAATTCATGAAAAGATTCACCCTAGCAGCTAAAGTAGTGAGTACTTCCTATGGCCCCATACCCTGCCTGTGATGCAGGAGCTGCTCACTTCACTTCTTGAGCCATCGAACATTGGGTAATACTAAGGATGGCTAGACTCTGTACCTTCAGTGTTATAATCACATGTCTAGACAGACATCTGTTCGCACAGCTGATAATGAAAAGTGAATGTATATTTATAAATGTGAGAATGTATTTAAAGTGACGTGTCCCCCATTTGTGTCCTGGCAAAAGGTGTTCTTCCTTTGCCTCCCTCTACATCCTAGTGCAGTCCTGTGATGGAAAGAGCCTGTCCTACAACTGCTGGCCTTGGAGTTATAGGTCGGGTGATCCCGGGTGTGTTTGTGTGTGGAGGGCCCAGATATGCTGAATGTATCCTAGCCAGAGGTAGGGGTGAGGGCAGCGGTAAGGGTGAAGGTAAAAGGCCTCACCACCTCTGGAATGTCCTGAGAGGAGATTTCTATGTGGTCGATCCTCTAGCTTGATGACTAATGGTACTGCACTGTCTCCTGAAGAAGAGGCACCTACAGTGAGGTTCAGGTCCCTCGCTGTATCCCTTCCCCCGCCCCCCACCCCCAACCCCAGCTGAGCAGGTCCTAGGAGTCCAGGTACTAGCATACATCCAGCAGACCCTGGATGTACCTCAGCAGGTCCCCCATCTTTTTTCTGCACCTGACTCTTAATAGCAGATGTCTGACGTCCATGGAGGCAGCCAGAGGCAGCAGGATGCGAACATCCTTAGTGGAGTCCTCCAACCTTCGAGTCAGTTTGCCCAGTGTCTCTGACAAACCTGCCCACTGCACCTCTCTCTGCTTGTGTATTTGTTTGAACTTATTCATAGCTGACACCTTGGGATCCTTGCCTGTCTTAATGCTGAGCAGGTCCCTAATCTCTGGCAGTGTTCTGAGTACCAATGACCAGGGGCTTTTCTTCAAAGTGATGGAAGAGATGTCTTGCAGGGTCAACCTCTTGACAGTGGAAACTGTGCAGATTCCACTTGTATCTGGAGGAGACAAAAGAGAGAATGTGTCACAAATAAAGGGTAGCAGTTATGGAATATTAAGAATTCATTCTCAGTGGTGGCAATGGGACAGTGGCTCATTTATGGACAACTGGTTGCTGAGACAGGGGAGTTTCAGATTCACCGAATGGCCACAGTCCTCACCGGCCTGGGCCAGGATCCTATCCTCACAAGGCATTGAGCCAAATGTTAGGCAGCCCACCACCCACCTTAGTTCTCTCTGTCCTAGTGTGGGGTGCTTTCCCCTGGAATGAGACAAAGGGAGGGATTGAGTGAGATGAAAGTTCATGGCACAGCTGTTGGTGCTGGTGCAGGTGGAGGGAAAGGTGTCCTGAGGTAGTGAACAAGCAAAGCAGAGGATGTGCAGGGCAGCACGGTGGCTCAGTGGTTAGCACTGCTGCCTCACAGCGCCAGGGACCCGGGTTTGATTCCACTATCAGGCGACTGTGTGGAGTTTCCACATTCTCCCCGTGTCTGCGTGGGTTTCCTTAGGGTGCTCCGGTTTCCTCCCACAGTCCGAAGATGTGCAGGTTAGGTGGATTGGCCATGCTAAATTACCCACAGTATCCAGGGATGTGCAGGCTAGGTGGATTAGCCATGGGAAATGTAGTGTTACAGCGATACGGTGGGTCGGGGTGGGATGCTCTTTGGAGAGTCGGTGTGGACATGATGGGCTGAATACCCTGCTTCCACACTGTCGGGATTCTCTGATTCTCGTAGTCTGGGAGTGTTTGATGAGAGCGAGTGAGGGACAACACTGCTTATAATAGTGAGAGTGGCACACCATGAGTCTTGGTGGGAATTGTGTGCAGTAGAAGAGAAAGAGTGAATGTGAAGTAGCAGAGAGGCGATGGTGGCCCTTATGGCAGAGCAGAGAAGATCACTGACCTTCTTCCTGCACAGTTGCTTGTTCCTCCACACCATGGAAACAGCACTGAGCCGGATGTCAACCTTGGACAAAGCTAGCAGGGTTTGGTGGTGTAGTCTCCGCAGTCATTCCTGAGGGAAGCGGCCGGTGCCCCTCTGCACCACCCTGTCCACCAGGACCTTCAGGTCCCCTGCTGGCAAAATGAAAAACCAATTTTCCTCTGTCTGCCTAACTTGATTGAGTTTTTTGAAGAAGTAACAAAGAGGATTGATGAAGGCAGAGTGGTGGATGTGATCTGTATGGACTTCAGTACAGCATTTGACAAGGTTCCTCATGGTAGACTGGTTAGCAAGTTTAGAGCACATGGAATACAGGGAGAACTAGCCACTTGGATACAGAACTGGCTCAAAGGTAGAAGACAGAGGGTGGTGTTGGAGTGTTGTTTTTCAGACTGGAGACCTGTGACCAGTGGTGTGCCACAAGGATCGGTGCTGGGTCCACTGCTTTTCGTCGTTTGTATGAATGATTTGGATGTGAACCCAGGAAGTATGGTTAGTAAGTTTGCAGATGACACCAAAATTGGAGGTGCAGTGGACAGTGAAGGAGGTTACGTCAGAATACAATGAGATCTTGATCAGATGGGCCAGTGTGCTGAGCAGTGGCAGATTAGATAAATGTGAGGTGCTGCATTTTGGAAAGGCAAATCAGGGCAGGACTTATACACTTAATGGTAAGATCCTGGGAAGTGTTGCTGAACAAAGAGACCTTGGAGAACAGGTTCACAGTTCCTTGAAAATGGAGTCACAGGTGGATTGATAGTGAAGAAGGCGTTTGGTATGCTTGCCTTCATTAGTCAATGCATTGTGTATGGGAGTTGGGAGGTCATGTTGTGGCTCTAGAGGATATTGGTTAGGCCACTTTTGGAATACTGTGTTCAATTCTGGTCTCCCTGCTGTAGCAAGGATGTTGTGAAACTTCAAAAGGTTCAGAAAAAATTTACAAGGATGTTGCCAGGGTTGGAGGGTTTGAGCTATAGGGAGAGGCCGAATAGGCTGGAGCTATTTTCCCTGGAGTGTCGGAGGCTGAGGGGTGACCTTATAGAGGTTTATAAAATCATGAGGGGCATGGATTGAGTGAATAGACAAGGTCTCTTCCAGAGTCCTAAACTAGAGGACATAGGTTTAAGGTGAGAGGAGAGAGATTTATAAGGGGCAACTTTTTCGTGCAGAATGTGGTGCGTGTATAGAATGAGCTGCCAGAAGAAATGGTGAAGGCTGGTACAATTAAAAGGCATCTGGATTGGTACACAAATAGGAAGGGTTTAGAGGGATATGGGCGAAATGCTAACAAATGGGACTAGATTAATTTAGGGTATCTGCTTGGCATGGGTGAGTTGGATCGAAGGATCTGTTTCCGTAGTGTAAAACTCTATGACTGTATGTCTGGGGCAATTCACATTCTCTGTGCAGGGCAGCTTCAGACTGACAGAGCTAGGCATAGTGCGCAAGGGCATTTTAAATATGGCAGGTTAGCAGGAACGCTGTAGGGCACAGCAGTGGCGAGTACGTCTGCTAGTGACGAGAGGGAAGGTGTGATGACCATGGGGGTTGTAGGGGCGTGGTGCATATGTAAAGTGACAAATTTCAGAAAATGGCATGAGGATTCTTGCTAAGCATCAGAGAGAGAGAAACCCTCCAGAAAATTTACCAAAAATTGACACTTAGCAGATTTCCATTTAAATTCAGCCCACAGTCTTGAAAAAAGCTACTCTGGGCCTTAGGACCCAGATATAAAAGTGTAGTTGGAGCTTTTCCTGTCCTAAATTTGCTGCCTGATTGAAAAGTTGCTGACATAAAGTTTCTGTCCACATTAAAGCGCTCAGAATACATGATCCAGCTTTCGCAGCAATTAAATCAGTTTTGTGGAATGACAAAATTTGAAGCTCTGAAACAGGCCAACTGCTTTATGTGAGTGTTTTTGCTCCATAGGAGCTTCCTCCCTGCCTATTTCAACCCAACCCCTTAGTTCCATCTCCCTTTTCCAAACCGTACATAATATTGGTCACTCTCCAGTTCTCTGGCACACATTCTCTCTCAGTAGAATTCTGAAATATTTCAAAAGCCTTTGCCTTTTCTCCCCCAATTTCTAATCAAGTTCCTGGGATGCATCCATTTGATCTTAACATTTTGTCTTAGCTTAACATACTTCACTAATTATTTTGTTTTATTCATTGTCATATCTTTCAACTCATCTTTATCTGATCAAGACTTTCTCTCCCCAGTAACCTTATCTTTTGTAGATACTGAAACAAAGTAATTGTTAAGCATCTCCTCCTCTTAGTTAACAATTATCATTTTCTCTTTAGCTTCTAAGAAAAATTTGCTGTTTATTTTAATAATTCGGGGGCTTTTATTCTACTGATTTATTTATAAACAAATTTTTAAAATCTTGCACTTGTTTGCAACCTCAATGTCCAAAACTAATAGGATACCTTTTGAAATGCAATTACTATTGCAATGTAGTAAAATGCAAACAGTAAGGCCACACAAGCAGGAATGAGGTCAATGACTAAATGATCTTCAGCTGGTGGAGCTGGGTGAGGGATAAATATTGACACTGGGGAGAACTCCCCTACTTTTCAAACCTGAGAGGGAATGTGGATCTGTGGTTTACAAACTTTAAATGTCAAATGGAATTGCTTCATTTAATATCTCACGATTATGCTGATCGCTTTCTCTAACTGTATAGATTATCTGATGACAGAGCATGCATTATCCTGGCAATGCATGAAATTTCACATCAGTTACTTAATAAAGAAGCAGAAGCATAAGACTAGGGTTAACTTCACTTAATAAGATGTTGGTTGTTGAAGCAGCTGCAATTCAGACTACTTCAATCTGAATCTCCATCTCTGATTTATTAGTGACAACAAAATTTTATTGGAAACATGGTTGCATTGCTTAAATTTGCATTAATATCTTGCTGGTAAGGCAGGAGCAGTTCCTTCATTCATTGCATGCCATTTGTCCATCCTTCTAATTAAGAGTTTAAGTGCTTTTTGCGTTTGGTGTTATGGTGGGGGTTATCCATAAGTTAGCCATTGTTTTCTGTATTCCCTTCAGGAGCCTGTGGGATAATTACTGTTCTGTGTGCATGTTTTTATTTGATCTGTACTGAGGTCAGTGGGAGGGTGGGTCAGACAATCAGTGATTCAGTGTTTAAGATTTTCTTTGTGTGTGGCTCTCTGCTTCCAGCATGTGATTGCTGAATTTACCCTTTGACTTTGACTTTTCAGAGCTATCTGCAGTGCAGAGTGAAAATTACAACATCCTATGCTACAAAAAGGCCCTTTTAGCTTAGTTATTTAGGATGGTTGGTTACAGTTGAGGCAAATCTTCGGAGAATGAAATTTAAACATTAAACTGTTTGGTTTCAAAAAAAGTTTTGGAATTAAATGATTATATTTTTGACTGACTGTTTTGGATTGGTTGCTGGAAAAGCAAGAGAGTTAAAAGGGAGAGGCAGGAAGCTGAGATAAAGCCATAGCACAATCAACTCTCAAGGGATCATATAGTCTGCTCCTGCTCCTATTTCTTCCATTCTTGTTGTCCTGGGGAACGTGTGCTTTCACATCAATCAATTGTTAATAAGGAATCAAATTGAGAAAGCTTTGCTTTCATGAAATATTTCGCTTTTCCCCTTGTGTAGAGTTCTCCAACAGAGATCGCGAGAAGGTTATTGGCTCTCAGCCTTCAGGCAGAGCTGTTGGGAGGTACACTAAAAGCCAGGCTTCCTTGTAAAGAACCATCTTGCCTTTATTGTTTGCTTTGGCAGATTTTGGAGACTTGCCATGAGGAAGTGTAGACTTCAGTCTGTGCTCTACATCTCTGTGATGGTGTTTAACAGCTCTACAGCCAATCCATCTGCAGCTACATTGTTCCTCATCAGGGATTTCTACAAAATAGATCCTGTACATGGATGAAAGATCACATAATATAATGGTGTTTTGCTGGTCTTCATTCTAGGTTTCCTTTTACAGAGGATCCTTGCCAGAAAATATTCCCGAGGAAGCTGCTAAGAAGCGAAAAGGCCCTGATTCGATGTGGCTGGCCACTTTGCCAATCAAATTGCCTGTAAGCTGCGTCATTTTCTTAATGTTGTTTTATTTTAGAGAATTAAAATAAAATTTGTGCTACTGCAGTAGGATCAGTGCATATTAGATTTTTTAAGGGGAGAGAGAAAGGCTCGTGTTTAATCGACACTGTCACGTTTCAGGAATTAAAGTGCAGTGACTGTTCTTCTGTTGGCAAACATAGAAGCCATCTTGTACACAGCAAGATCCCATTAATAGCAGTGAATTAAAGCAGTTAATCTGATTTTACTAGGCTAATTAAGGCAGAAGTATAGGCCTAGAGAATGCATCCTTTTTTAGAAGTAGTGCCACACATTCTTTAAAGTTTATCTGAAGTGGTGTCACAGCCAAAGTGATATTTGACTTAATTGCTTGCCCTACAGGATGGCATCTCTGATAATGCCTGATTCCTCAGTAGTGCACTGATGGGCCCCACCTAGATTATAGGCTCAAGTTGAAGAGTGGGGCTTGAACCTATAATGTTCTGTTACTGACATTAGACTGCTATAAATGTTATTTGTTTGCGTACAGTTTATTTTCCACTTTCAAGTGTGGCTTTTAAAAAACCTGATGCATTTTCTCCAGAAGCAGAAATCAAGACTTCACAATGAACCCAGAACGGATCCATCCTATCCACCATTAAATCTAGGTGATGAAGGTGAGACTGTGTTATTTTACCAGTGTTTAATTGTTTTGTTTTGTACTTACTGACCCAGTGTCTGCCAGCACCATGAATTCTCAGATCCAATCATTTGTATCTTAAAAAGAGCCCAAAAAGGCTTCTTGCAGGAGAAATATGAGTTTGTCTAATTCTGATATCGTTCAACAGAGACATTTTAATCTTTATAGTGACAGTAAAAATTAGATTCTTTTCAATTGTGCTAATTTGCCGCCAACATTTAAAAATATTTTAAAGACAACACAAAGTAATCTGATTTTAAGAGACAGATGTTGTTATTAGTGAGTATTTATGTCTTTTTCTCCTTCTGTGTAATTTTTAATAATAGTTAATTGGTAAACACAGAATTGTAATCATTAAACCATGATGAAATCGCATATGTGATTTGAATTGGTGGTCACTGCAGGACTCGACTAGCATACCATTGTAGAGTCTAAATATATAGGAATGCTTAAATGTCCATTAACTGCAGCACTTGATAAATTATTGACACTCCTCCCCTGGCAAAAGCCAAAGATAGATCAGCAATGTCGACAATGCTATTGTCATTCATTGCTTGTTAGATCACATCAGTGTCTGGCCATGACCTCAGAGGATATGAGCCTCAAAATAAATTTTCAATTTATTGCTTGGGTCCAACTGCTTAAAAATGTCCTGCGCTAACTGAGGAGTAGGGTTTGAATTTTTTAAAATCAAAACTGATAAATATTCCTGTTTGTGCTCTCTCTGATTTGCATTATCAAAATACTTAACAGTTTAGCGGCCTGTTAATATGTTAAGTGGCTTTTTTCCAACTTGCATGGTGCAAATGGAACAAGTAGGTGCATTAAAGGAAGGTCATTGAGGTTCTGAAGAAGCATCACTGGACTCGAAGTGTTAATTCTGCCTTCTCTCCACATGTGCTGCCAGATCGGCGGAGTTTCTGCAGCAATTTTGGTTTTTTGGTTAAAATCATTGAGGGTCATTTGTAACTTGGATCATTACATGTGCATTTGGGAGCAATATAATTCCATTTCCATGTTAATGGACACCATTTCAATGAGAGAATGGAAGAATATGTTTGAAATTGGGTCCCGATCTGACTCCAGTAAAAAGCAGAGTGAGACCCTTTTTTGTGGAAAGTTATAGATATTTTGTAATCAGCCTGTTCAGAGATGTTACGATACACGTTTGGAGCAGGTGTGGATTGAATCCAGGCCTCCTGGCCCAGAGATGGGACACTATCAATCTGCCACAGGTGCCCTCTGGAAAGTAGTAAGTTGTGACATTGGTTGAGCCCTCGGACACTTTCACAAACTGTTACCTTTTTGAGCATTTTGATAAAGCAGACCATTTCACCTACGTTCTCCAAAGCAGTAGGAAATCATGATGTAGGTTTGGCATTTCCAATTGGGTGCTCTTTGCAATCTAAAGCTTTGGACCTCAGATTGCCAGCACATTGCAGTCTTTTCTGAGGTTCATTACTGGCATGGACAGGTAGTAGTTCTGGCCATTACCCTTCTCCTGGGCAGGTACTTTGCGATGTTTCTGACAACTACTGTTTGCTGACAGGGACAAATCTTGCTTGAGAATTCCCACTTGTTACACAAGGTGTTGAACCTATGTTTACGATTACAATCCAACTAGTGGGAAGAGTTAACTTAAGCAGAATCCAGGAGTACAGGCTACCTGGTTCATGATACGATTATATGTTACGCTAAATGGTTTCTTACTTTACTTTGGACAGAAACTGGCTACCTCACAGAAGCTAATCTTTTGAGTATTGCAAGAAGAATTGGGCCGGAATGGCAGAGTATTGGTATCAATCTCGGTTTATCCTATTCACAACTGGAAAGAATAGGATATAATCATAGGTGAGGAAGACATTTCTTCATGACAGTGGTCAATTGTTTGGTTTTCTTTATCGTTCTTAGTTGTCTGATTTAATTTAAGAGTACAACAACAATAGGTGTGTCTCTCTCTTTGCACTTCTCAGACTTTTGCTAGTATGAGCAATTCATATACAGAGAAAGCCTGCACTTGGAATATTAATAGTCAAATTCAGCAAAGTGATTTTCCAGATCAGCCCTCCCTTCATTTTTTTGTCGTGAGGCACAACTGTTGCCTTTGCTGTCAACTAGACATTTGCAAATGGCTGAATGCCAATTCACCCTGTATGTGCAAGACATTTCTGGTGCGGCACAGTTGTTCATGTTTTGTTTGAGCTTGACCTTGACCTTGAACCATTAGCGCTTGACGTCAAAATTATCTGTTGTCCTTTTGAGAAAACCTAACATTGCAGCTGGACTGGATCATCCACTGTTACCACATGGCTGATCCAGCATTGCTTCACCTTTGTCAGCTTTGCCTTAATTCTGGTTATACTCACCAGTGCAGAACCTTGATTGCTTTGATACTCAGAATGGTAGACAGTTTGCAGCCTCCTGAGATTTTGACATCTGTTTTGTAGCTGACGCAGGCCTGGCTGCTGCATTAGTAAGGAGGCTTCCTAGTCAACATCATTGTGAGAGGTTTCGAGTACAGGGCCTAGGTGAGACCACACCTGGAATATTGTGTGCAGTTTTGGTCTCCTTTTCTGAGGAAGGATGCTCTTGCTGTCGAGGGAGTGCAGTGCAGGTTTACCAGGCTGATTCCAGGGATGGCGGGTCTGACATATCAGGAGAGATTGGCTAGGTTAGGATTGTTTTTGCTAGAGTTCAGAAGAATGAGGGGGGATCTCATAGAGACTTATAAAATTCTAAGAGGACTGGGCAGGGTAGATGCAGGGAGGATGTTCCCGATGGTGGGTGTGTCCAGAACCAGGGGTCACAGCATGAGGATTCAGGGTAGATGATTTAGGATGGACAAAAGGAGACATTTTTTCACCCAAAAAGTGGTGAGTCTGTGGAATTGATTACCACAGGAAGTAGTTGACGCCAAAACATTGAGGCGACTAGACATAGCACTTGGGGCGAATGGGATCAAAGGTTATGGGAAGAAAGTAGGATTAGGCTATTGAGTTGGACGATCCACCATAATTGTGAAGAATGGCAGAGCAGGTTCGAAGGGCCGAATGGCCTCCTCCTGCTTCTATCTTCTGTGTATCTATGTTTAGCATACATCCTTATGCTGTGCCAATTAATATATGTTTCCTGAGATACCTGGAAAATGCTTTGGATTTTAGGTCCATATAATAACGTCTTGGCCAATTACACCCCACTGTAGTGAGGGTGTCCAAGTTGGTAAAGTGTTTGATCACCTCACACTGGGCTGTTTAATAGTACTTATTGGTAGAGCATTTTACTTGGGTAGGACATGTTGGTAAACTCAAATTTCTGGAGATTGATCACTAACCAGTTTGGGGTTGGTTAGCTCAGTTGGCTGGATGACTGATTTGCGATGCAGAGTGACATCAACAGCACAGTTTCAATTCCTGCACCAACTGAGGTTACCATGAAGGTCCCACCTTCTCAAAGGGGCGTGGTGACCCTCAGGTTAAACTCACCACCAAACATCTCTCTCTAATGAGAGAGCAGCCCTATGGCTATGGTGTCTTTACCTTTAACCAGTAGCAGTTGTGGCGAAGCACTCAATAATACCACTTTGAAAATTAATCCATCATTCAGTAGTTAACTAAGACATGCTTATGGGACAGTAGATATCATAAATTTCATGTGTGTCATTGAACTATTCACTTCTCATGAAGAAGATTTTGATAAATTTTGTTTAAGGTGGTAAGTGTAGAAGTCTGAGGATAGAAAAATCAGCAGCCAGGAAATATATCTTGCATGGCATAGTACAAAAGTATATATCATCAATAGCTTTAATTAACAAGATTATTGATTAGAAATGTATCAGGACCACCTCCTCCCTCAGGTACTTAGCTGAGCTGTTTATGCTAAGACAATCCCTACACTGTGCCCATTTAACTGGTCCCAGGTGAAATACTGTTTGCTGCAGTTGCTTGGTCTTGGGACTTAGTTTCCATTTGTATACAGATGATGCCCAACTCCATCCCTTCACCATCTCTGTCAGTCTGTCCAAAGTCTTGGTGTTATCAGACTGTTGGCCCATCTTCCACCCACAGATGAGCCATCTCCTATTCCACTAAAGTTTTGAAATGATGAAGCCATAATTTCTGGCCCTTGTCAACAATTTTGGCCCATGTTTAAACTAATCCATTCATCAACTTTGGCATCCCGTTTGATCCAGAGCTGAGCTTCAAATCTCATATCTGCCTGATCATAAACACTGCCTATTTCTGTCACTACTATTTCAGCTGCTGAAATATTTATTTATGCCTTCATCACATAAAGACTTGTTCAGGCCAATACTTTCCTATCAATCAGGCTTGCATTTTCAAGTGTTTATCAATTTCTGTCCGTTGGAAACATTTCTGCCTTCATCAAGTTCTGCTGACAAAATTAATCGTTTCTTCACTGGTATGCACTGAGAGACTTGCACTTAAATCATTTTAGCCCATTCCATCTCTGCAATCACCCACCACCCTACTGTAGACTTCAGTCCACCTCTCCCTACCCTAGGACTCTTCATTCGTCTGACTTGAACCCCTCGTGCACCCTTCATTTCAATTTTCCCCATTATTGGTGACTGGACTGTCACTTCTCTCCTCCTCCTCAAAACACCTCAGTTAAAACTCACATTTGACCACATCTTTGCTCTCACTCAACTGGCTCATTGCACCTCAACCACCTTTGGATTTTTTTTAACATTAAATATTCTTTAAATGCAATTATTGTCATCAAATTTTCATGTCTAAAATCTAAATTTCTAACAACTGGTGCAAAAAAAATATGAAATGAAAGCATCGCATTTGTATTATGTCTCCTCAGATGCTTTGTTTGCATTGGGTTATTTGAAAGTCCATTGACTGGTTACTGTGTTGGCTTATAAAGCAATAGGCATTGTAGTATCCCACAAGCAACAATTAGATAAATAACCAATTAGTTTCTCTTAACAGGTTAACAGAGGACTTTTGGCTAGAAAGTCAGGGAATCTTCCTGCTCCCCTAAATAATTCTATAAGAGTTTTACTATTCCCCTGAGTTAGCAGTAGAACTAGAATGCCAGTTTAATAGCTTTGTTGTTATTGTTAACAGCTTGGCATTATCTCAGTGACACAAAGCAATGTCAACCTAGTTAATGTTAATAGGACAATTAGTAGGATTTGAAACCACTGCCTTCTAACCTGGGATGGAATGCAAAGAACTTGGTTAACGCTAAGTAACCTCACAATATGGAGTTTTGAACAGCTCTGGAAATATACACATCTAGTGAAATGAACAAATAATCTCTTTGAGCATAGTATAAATTGTGTTGATGTTGGGGAAAGCTTATAATTTTTGCACTTGTTGCGGCTTTCTTGAAATTACTTTAAAGCTCAAAACAATTTTTATTGGAAAATTATTTTTATAAATAATGTCATCTTTTGGGTAAGAGCAGACAATTTTCTTAATTTGCTAAATTTACCTCCTTTTACCTCCTCTCATCCATTTTGCTAAAATTGGCAGGTGAATGCTCTAAGTTTACATAAATAGAATCATGAGCTAGTGTTTTTGAGGGTTTTTTTGTCTCATCTTTGTCTCCTGTAGTCTTCTGAGTCCTGTGGTTACCTAGTGCCCAGACTGCTCTGTACTAGCTGTGCCCGTAGGATTCCAGACATGACACTCCTGTGAATTTTTAGTCTTTTTGTAACCTTTACATTATTCATATGTAATTAAGAGGCTGACATGGAAAAACAGGGAACAAAGGATGTGGGCAACTGATAATTTAACTCCACAGAACGTGAAACTTTAGTCTTCTTGGATAGTGTCTATGAAAGCAATTTTTTAAAAAAAATTAAAAGCAGTTCTTGTCTTTTCAAGCTATTACTTCATTTCCCCCAGGGACGACCTGGACAAGCAAATCTTAGAGATGCTCTTTACATGGGCCCAATGCAATGAGAGTGTACCAGGCTGCATCAGTCAACTGATTCAAGCAATGAAGAAGAGTGATCGCGAAGATATTGCAGAAGAAATACATTGTATTATTGAACTTGGCAGGCGGAAATATCATGATTCCATTCGTCGAGTAGGGCTGAGCCAAGAAAGCAGTAATGAAGATTCAGCTATAGCAATGGTATAACCTGGAAGATATCGCTCCATTGGAAAATAATGGATATGAACCCTTTCTGTGGTGTTTGAAGATAGGGAGGTTTTATCCTGTTTTAGACTTACGTTTTTGCTGGTTGAGCGATGCCCTGGGGGACGATGAACTCTTGACAACATTGTTCAGGAAATGATGCCATGTAATTAACTGAGGCAGAGTTCATTCCACATAAATGTCAAGACCACTGTGATTGTTTTACAGAGGAATACAGAGAAAGCCAACAGGATTTGATAGTAAAACCAATCATTTTGCGGTGATGTGCAATATACAATCTTATTTCAGCCAGTGATGTGCAATTTTCTTCCATGCATGTTACCCAGAGATAGCATACTTTGCATTTAATCTACAGCGTTTAGTGAACTCCCCAAGTTGACAGATGGTCATATTACATTGAGGAATTATACAGTGTAGAAACAAGACGTTTGATAATTAAATCCGTACAAGTTGTCTTCCACTAATTGAGATGCCTAGCTATTTGCTACCCTTGCATCTTAAATCTGGGAAATAGAGTAATTTGCCATTTAGGCAGGATCACCAAGCCTCACCAGTGGTGAACATGTATTGGAATTCCTATGCAATACCCAGCTGGTGTGTGCAACCATTTACAACAGCAATGAAAAGAAATCGGATACAGGTGGGGAGCCCTACAATACCGGTCAGTTTCTGGTTCTTTGCAAAGCAGTAATGTTTATCAGCTTCTGTGCTAAAGTTTATATTGTTTTGATGATCTTGGTCCCTATTACTTGGCAGGCTCACATAAAGTGAACTAAATAGAAAGCCAATAGCCTGGTATTATGAAGTAGGATTCCTCAAGGTACCAGTGGCAGTTCCTATTCAGCTCCAACGTTGTACCATCTTCCCAAACCTATTTTTTTTTCTCATTTTTATCCTTTTTGTCTGCCACATTGAGTTAATTTGACAACTGGGGAGCTTCTTTTTTAAACTTTGACAAACTTAGCTACCCATGGAGCACTGTTAAAATTTACTTCAGATCAATTGCAGGGTTTTGTGAAAGTTATAATTAGTATTGGCATTCAGAGAGAAGAAAGCCATTAAACTAGGAACAAATATTTGTTTCTTTGTTAGAAGTTACAAGTGCATGCAACAGCATGGACTATTCACTTCTAATATAGGATAGTATGCAATACTTTGTCATTCTGAAGTGTATGCAGCATGGAAGCACACACCATAGAGTGTACAGTACATGTCAGTTCAAACACATGTCATACTATTCCATGGGGCTAAAGCTATTAAGCTCATAATGATATGCAGATGTTTGAAATGTTCTCTTCATTTAACTCTGTGTGTGTGTGTGTGTGTTGATGTTCTGTGTTCATGTACAGCAATTTGTTTTGCACTGATCTTTAATGTTTTTAACAAAGATTGCACAGAGCTTAGGAGTGTAATTTGTAAATGTCTTCTTGTTCAAACATAGCCTCTTCATGCTAATGCAGTTTGGAAAATATTAGACCAAGAGGGTTGTACAGTGAGTCATAAGCAGTGGGTAATCTGGAATTCATTTATTCAAAAATGAATGCAGGAATATGAATGTGGATTGCCTCCTTCTTCAAAACAAACTTAATTTTTCAAATATGGAAAATTAGTAATAACTTCTTCCTCTTTTGGGAAAAGTGTATGTGAGCAAAATACAGTCAGTTATAAACATTAGAGTAATCTGATGTAGCCACCTACAGCCTATCAGCTGTTAGTTCTCTCAGTATAAATCAGCAAGTGAGTGACATATTTGAGGGGATAGTTGGTATCACAGCCTCTCAAGTAAGTTCAGAAAACTGATTAAGGCTGTCCAGCACAATGATATATTGCTCCTTTGGATACGACATTTTTCAGAGTAGTTGTGCAGAAACTTCCAGACCAGTGGGAGGCAGGACAGCCTGATAATGAAGTGGGTTGATGACAAGACCTGTATCCAGTGCCTTTCCTCCTCCAGGGGAGGGGCTGGTTAGAGGGCTCCCTGACCTGCACTATCTAGTGCATCATTGATGGCATGGACACGTCAAGAGAGCCACAACTCTGCCTTTGCTTCTGGCCCTCATGACTCCCCACTCGCTGCAAGCTCTCCACAACCTGTGAGATCCTAGCCCTGGCAACACGTAACTTCTCCCTGGATTGATGCTCAACTCTGAGGCTCCAGCAGATATTATACTAGCAGCAGCCATGGTCTACCCCATGGCAATGGAATGCTAGAGCTGCCAGCCTCTGATTTGCCAGTGGAACATCGTATCCCAAGGTCCTCAATTGGGATGAAGGTCCTCTGTTATCTTCTTAAGGACCTGATGGGCAGGAGATTTGAGAGGCTACCCTGTAGAGAATGAACATGTGTGTCTTGCTGCTTTTTCAGGCAGCACACCAGATGCCCATCACACGCTCAAGATTTATCCTAATAAATGGTTTTGGTATTTACTATACAGGAGTATCTACCACTCTTCCAATTAAAGATTTTGCAACAACAAAAAGCAAATAGCAACATAGAAAATAGCTGCAGGAGTAGGCCATTCGGCTCTTCAAGCCTGCACTGCCATTCAATATGATCATGGCTCATCATGCAATCTGAGTATCCCACTCCCGCTTTTTCTCCACAACCCTTGATCTTTCAGCCACAAGGGCCACATGCAGCTCCCTCTTGAATATATCTAACGAACTGGCTCCAACAGCTTTCTGGGTAGGGAATTCCACAGGTTCACAATTCTCTGAGTGAAGAAATTCTTCCTTCTCTCAGTCCTGAATAGCTTACCCCTTATTCTTAGACTGTGACCCCTAGTTCTGGACTTCCCCAACATTGGGAACATTCTTCCTACATATAGCCTGTCCAGTCCCATCTGGATTTTATAAGTTTCTATGAGATTCCTCCCTCATTCTTCTAAATTTCAGCGAGTACAAGCCCAATCGATCCAGTCTTTCCTCAAATGTAAGTCCTGCCATCCCTGGAATCAGCCTGGTGAACTTTGCTGGATTCCCTCAACAGCAAGAATGTCCTTCCTCAGACTAGGAGACCAAAACTGCATACAATACTGAAGGTGTGGCCTCATCAAGGCCCTGTATAACTATAGCAAGACAACCCTATTCCAATACTCAAATCTTTTCACTATGAAGGCCAGCATGCCATTAGCTTTCCTCACCACCTGCCATGCAAATCTTCAGCGACTGTTCTGCCATGACACCCAGGTCTCGTTGCACCTCACCTTTTCCTAAACTACTGCCATTCAGATAATAATCTGCCTTCCTGTTTTTGCCATTAAAGTGGATAACCTCACATTTATCTATATTATATTGCATTTGCCAAGTATGTCCCCACACAGCCAGCCTGTCCAAGTCACCTTGCAGCCTCTTAGTCTCCTCCTGACAACACACACTGCTACCCAGCTTAATGTCATATGATGAGGAAGGCCATTCAGTCCACCTTAATTTATTTATCAGGAAAATTTCCAAATACCATGAGAAATTTCACCTCTGTCATGTCCCTAAAAGTCTATTTCATTTGTTGTTCATTCTTTCATGTATGTCAGTCTAACAAGCCAGCAAAATAGACCAATGAAATTCAAAAATGCTGAAAACTGAAAATAAGATGCTTGAATAAGAGTCCATGCCGCCTGAAAACAAGCAATAAAATTAAATGTGGCGGGGCACAAGATTTTAACAAGTTGTGAATATGTCCATCATTCCTTCACTTATTCTCAAGTTAAAGGTTATGAACCAATAAAAGCTTGAAATGGATTGCAGTGTTGCGGCAGATTGTTTTCACTCCAGAGATTTTGTCACATATTATTAGCCATACGTATAGAATCTATTTTTATTTATCCATTGACATGGGTGTCACTGGCAAGGCCAGTATTCATTGCCCATTCAGAATTGCCTTGAGAAGGTGTTAACAGCTGCATGCCAGATGGTAAAGGCACACCCACCGTGATGTGAGGAAGGGTGTTCCAAGATTTTGACCCCACCACAGTAAAGGATCAACAATTGATTCATAGTCAAAACACATAGTGTGTGACTTGATGGTAGCATTCCCACTTGCACGCTGCCCTTAGCTTCTCGATGGTGAAGGTCAGAGATTTTGAATGTGTTGTGAGAGAATATTTGGCAAGTTGCTGCTGTGTATTTTTTAGATGGTACACACTGTAGACACTCTTCAATGTTGACAGGCTTTGGAAGTACTCCCATTTTCATGATTATTGGTAATAGTTTTGTGGTCACCATTACTGACACAATTCCACGTTTTTAAAATATATTATTTGCATTTAAATTCCACCAGCTACCATGGTGAGAGTTGTATCTATGGCCACATTAGCCTGCTGCTCTAGATTACTAGTCCAATAACATTACCATTAATCCACTGTCTTCTCATATGGCTGAAGATAGTTGCAAATGCTTTCATCTTTTGCATTCATCGTGAACCTCAGGATTGTTGTACGTGGGAATATTCATGAAGTCTGTTTCTCCACTCAGTATTGTAATTTTCCACCACCACTCAGGATCAGATGTGGCAGGACTGCAGACCATTGATTTGACCCGTTGGCTAAGGGACTGTTTTGCAATGTGTAATATGTGTTGTTCTCATTGTTTAGTGTACATATGGTCCTGTCTTGTAGCTTGACTAGGTTAGTGCCTTGTTATTAATTATTTCTGATACTGCTCCTGACATGCTGTTTTGAATCCTTATTGAACCATGCTAAATGCTAATGGTCAGGTGATGGATATGCAGGACCATGAGATTGCAGATTGTGATTTAATACAGTTCTGCTGCTGTTGATGATCCACAGCACCTCATGGATGTCCAGTTTTGAGCTGTTCATCTGTTCTGAATCTATCCTATTCCACATTGTGGTAATGCCACAGGATGTGAAAGAGTGTGCCTTCAATATGAAGAAGGCACTTTGTCTCCACAAGCATTAGTCACTCCTTCAAACAATTTCATAGGTATGTGCAGGTGTAACAAGTAGACAGGTAAGGACGAGCTCAAGTGAACGTTTCCCTCATGATGGTTTTCTCTCACCAGCTGCCACAGCCTCAGTCTGATAGCTTTATCTTCGGGATTTAGCCAGCTTTTTCAGTAGTGGTGCTACAATGTCACTTGTGGTGATAGATATTTAAGTCCTCCATCCAGGATATTTTCTTCACCCTTATTATCCTCAATATTTCTTTCAAGTGATGTTCAGCATGGAGGAGTATTGATTCATTTGACAACAGAGGGCAGTAGGTTAATCAGCAGGAAATTTCCTTGCCCATATTTTATCTAATACAATAAGACTTCATGAAGCCCAAAGTCAATACTGAGAACTCCCCTGACTCTATACTGCAGTAGTGGGTTTGTTCTCCTGGTGAAATAAAACATAGCCAGGGATTGTGATGGAAGTGTCTGGGATATTGGTGCAAATGTGACCTGGTAAGTGGGTCTAAGTGAGGCTGTCACTGATCTCGTCTATGAAATAACTCCTCGTATTTTAGCATAAGCCTCCAAAGTGTTACTGAGGTAGATTTTGCTCGGGGTAGTGGGAACTGCCGATGCTGGAGAATCTGACTTAACAAGTTGTAGAGCTGCATGTTGTGTTTATCTAGATTTTGCTAGGTGTGCTTTTGACATGTCTGAATCCAGTGTCAATTGATAGATGCTGAGGTTCTCTTTTGAAGCAATTTTGATACAACTGACTGGCTTGCTAGGCCATTTCAGAGGGCAGATGAGAGCCAATCACATTCCCTGGATATCTGGTTTAATAGTCTGTAATACAACCACTATGCCACTGTGCCCCATATTCATTTTCACATGAACTGTGACCATGGACATCGCTTTTTAAGGCAAGTGAATTTATATCGTTTTATTGAGAACTGATTTTTATTTGCCATATTTAAATTTTCCCATATTGGTAACAAGTTACTAATTAATACATATCACCAGGAAGGTTCCAGAAATGGATCAGTATCCATATGAGGAAAGGATTGACTCAAAAGATCTGTTATCTTTTTTTTATTCATTCACGAGACGTGGGTGTCACTGGTGAGGCCAGCATTTATTGCCCATCCCTAATTGTCCAGAGGGCAGTTAAGAGTCAACCACATTGCTGTGGGCCGGGAGTCATGTGTAGGCCAGACCAGGTAAGGATAGCAGTTTCCTTCCCTAAAGGACATTAGTGAACCAGATGGGTTTTCCCCACCAATCGGCAATGGATTCACAGCCATCATCAGATGCTTGATTCCAGATATTTATTGAACTCAAATTCCCCCAAACAGCCATGGCAGGATTCAAGCCCCTATCCCCAGAATATTAGCTGGGTCTCTGGATTAACACTCCAACAATAAGACCACTAGGCCATTGCCTCGCCTGGTGAACTTTATCTATTAAAAATAAGACTGAGGACTCGACCTTGTAGAAGTCTTTGAAAGGTTTTGATGGAGTGGGGAGGATGTTTAGTCTTGTTGGAAAGAGCATAACTAGATGCCATGAGTATAAGACTATCCCGAAGAAATCCAAAAGTGAGTTCAGAGAAAAAAAAATCTGTATTCAAACAATGATGAGAATGTAGTACTCACTACCACAGGGAATGGTTGAAGCAAAAACATATGAAGGAGGAGGAAGTTGAAGATTATATGATTTGGATGACAAAAGAAAGGCGGAAGTTTAAGTGAATTAATACCAGGATCAGATCCTTAAGTGCTCATTAATTGCCCATTTAAGGCCTCAATTAGCCTGAAAATCTGACCGTCAGCCTTACCACCCCAATGTAATTCTGATGGAGGTAGGAAGATTCAGTACTCTGCTATCCTGACTAATTAAGTACATTCATCTGCCTGCAAGCACATTATGAGAGGGGCCTTAAAAATCCTACTCATGTTGTGCAGCAACATCTAATATCCTGGATGGGGTGCACCAGGAGATGCCTTGCAAACAGTGATTGACCGTGTGAAATCTTCCTGACATCAGTCCTAAATTTATCTTTTATCCCTGCAACAGGGTACCCTCTGAAGATCAATCTTGTTTTGCACAGACTCCTATTACTTGAACATTTCTTGTCTTCAGTCGACAGTTTGAGCAAAAATTGTCTGGATAGTACTGGTTATTGTGACTTGAACTTTTTATTCAATATATGTTTAAATGATGTATTTAATTTGGGACTAGGTACAATTCTGAATCAAAAGTTTTGTTAATTTTAAATGTTTTATATCACCTTACTGTCTGTAAAAGTCTGCTAAAGATACATATCTATTGGTTTAAGTTGTGAATTCTATTTATAAAACCATTTAACAGTAAAATATTCAAAATTATACAAATGTATCTTTCTGTGATCATGGACACTGTGGTCTATTCAAGCAATCTTGAATATACAGACTGAGGGTACTGAGGTGGTCTTGAGGTAATTGACATATATAAGCACAGGAGTAAGCCATTCAGTCACTCGAGCCTATTACTCAACTAGATCATGATGGATTGGACACCTAACTCCATACACCCATGTTTGTGTCATTGCCCTTAATACCCTTGGCTAATAAAGATCAAATTAGCTGAGATGTAAAATGATTAATTGAGTTAGCATCTATTGCTTTCTGTAGAAGACCATTCTACACTACGAACTCACTTTGTATGAAGGACTGTTTTTTAACTTCCGTCCTCAAAAGTTCTGGTGCTGGTTTTAAGGATATGTCCTGCTAATCTCCCCGTATCATTGGAAATGTTTACTTCTCTTTACCTTATAAATTCCTTTCCAATTCCTGAAAGAACTCAAGGGGAGCATTCTTTAAGATTTTATATTCCAGGAAAAATAGTCTAGTTAATGTCATTTTTTTTTTCATAACCTAATCATTGGAACTCTGATAACGTTCTGGTGAATCTTCCCTGCATTCCTCTGTGACAATTTATTCTTTCTAAGCTACACTGACTAGGACACACTACAAAATGTGATCTCACCAGTGCTTGTATCGCTGGAGCAGAGTTTCCTCTCATTTATATTCCAGTGCTCTAGTTATAAGATCCAGCATCAATGCAGTGACGAGGGTATGCTACATTGTCAGACGTGCTGTCTGTTAAATCAAAGCACAACTGTTCTATCCAATGGATGTGAATAAAAATACAATGATACTTTTCAAAGCAGAGCAAATTACATCTCTAATGTCCTGGTCAACATTTATCCTTTAACCAATGCTGCTAAAAGATTTCTTTTGTCATTTATCCCATTGCTCCTTTGGAATTTTGCTGTGTGCAAGCATGCTGCTGTGTTTTTCCAAGTTGCAGAATGATTGCACTTCAGGAAAGTACTTCCTTGGTAGTAAAGTTCTCATTGACATTCTGAAACCTTGCAAGGTGCTAAAATATGAAAGTCCCCACTTTTTCTCAATAAAACTGCATTACAGACATCTTTTTACAGGTTGGAAAAGCCTGTGATCTTTCTAGTCTGTAGGACCTGGACTTACAGTTTAATTGAAATGGGTAGGGCCAATGCAATTACTTTAAATAACAACTGTTAGTAAAGCCCTTTACACCAGATTATGGTGTAAAGACCCTCCAGTTACTACTCAGCATTGAGTTCGACAAGTTGTGTTCCGAACCACTGTTCCCATAGCTTTTGACACCAGGTTTTGTAATTATTCTGCAGTTGCCATTAAAGCTCCTCTGGACTCATTTTTCATTTCATTCGCTTGTCCCATTATATTGCCGATTGCTCGCACTATCATCACTTCTATCGTGTGCACTCCTGTCTTTGACTCTATCATAGATTTTGCCTTTTCTTTCTCCCCTCCCCAGCCCTTTTTCCCGACCACTGTCCTTGCTTAAAAGCAAACATGAACAAAAGTGCTAAATCCCAGAGGAGTCGGGAGAGTGACTGTCCTTGACATTAGGGCTGAAACTCCTCACTTGTTGCAGTCATACTTTGCCTAATGGAAAATGGTTGTGGATGTAGGAGACTAATAATCTCCAGGACATCAGCATAGGTGTTCCTAAGGACAGTCTCCTTGGCCTAATCATTTAAAGCTATTTCATTACTGACCTTTCCTCTTCTACATGGTCAGGAATGGGGATGTCTGTTGATGATTTCACAGTACTCAGTACCATTTGCAAGGCCTTAGATAATGAAATGGTGCATGCCAGCATCCAGCAAGACAGGGACAACATTTAGGCTTGGGCTGATAAGTAGCAAGTAATGGTCATCACACAAGTTCCAAGCAAACACCATCTCCCTCAAGAAAGAATCCAACCGTCTCCTGATGCTTTATACCATTGCCATCTCCAAACTCGCCCAACTATCAATATTACAGGGGTTACTATTGATGAGAAACTCAACTAGAAACACACCCCTCCCCATTTAAATACTGTCACTACAAGTGCTGGGCCGTAGCTCTTAACCATCTTTATCAATCATTTGAATGTGGGAAACAATTGTAATACTTCCAAGTTTACGAAAGATACAAAATTTGGTAGGAATGTGAGTTGTGAGGATGATACAAAGTAGCTTTAAGGGGATTTAAACAGGGCCAGAGCATGGCTGTTGAAACAAAATGTGGAGAAGTGTGAAGTTTTATATATATAGAGTAGGAAGAACAAGAGAGATAGAGTATCTCTTGAATGGTGAGAGACCGGAAAGTGTTGGTGTCCAAGGGGACTTGCATGTCCTTGTTCTTTAAGCACTGCAAGTGCGCTTGCAGGTGTTGCATGCAATTTGGGAGGTGAATAGCACATTAGCCTTTATTGCAACAGGATTTTGAGTACAGGTGCAAAGAAGTCTTCCTTTAATGATACAGAACACTGTTCAGGCTAGACAGTATTGTGTGCAGTTCTGGTCCACTTGCCATTGAAGGAGAGCAGCAGAGGTTCATTAGACTGATTCTTAGGTGATGGCACCTCCCCACGAAGAGAGATTGAGGAGACAGGGCCTATATTTTCTGGAATTTGAAAGAATGGGAGTCAATCTCATAGAAACATACTACATTCCAAAAGAGATAGACAGAGTAGATGCAGAAAGGATGCTTCCCCTGGCTGAGTGGACTAGAGTGGTCTCAGCATAAAAGACAAGCTATTTAGGACTGAGATGAGGAGGAAGATCTTCACGCAAAGGGTGGTGAATCTTGGATTACCTTCTCCAGAGGGGCAGAAATTCTTGGGTAGATGATCAGCTATGATCTAGAGTGGCTAAGCAGACAGGAGCGACGTACTCCTGCTCCTAGCTGCTGAAGAGTAACAAAGGCTGGGAAATCTGTAGTGGCTGCCTCATTATTTTTTATTTCCAAAGCCTGCCCACCGTCTACATAGCACATGTCCGGAGTGCAATGGAATCCTTTTTACTTGCCTGGTTGAATGCAACACAAAAGAAATTATTAAGAAGCTCAACAACATTCAGGGCAAAGCAGCCTGCTTGATTGGCATCCCATCTACCACTAACAACATTCACTCTCTCCACCACTGACCTACATTGCTCACATAGATGCCAATCTACATGATGCACCGCAGTAACCTATCCATATGCTCCTTCAACAGTATCTTTCAAACCCATGACCTTTACCACCTAGGAGAGCAAGGGCAGCATCTTGACTTGGAGCTCTGTTGCCTTCCCTTCGCTGTCATTGGGTCAAAACCCTGGAACCCCCTTCAGAAATGCGGTGGGATGTACCTACAGCAAATGGACTGCAGAGTTTCAAACAGGCAGCTCACCACCGCCTTCTCAAGGACAATTATATGGGCACAAAGTGCTGACCTGGCACTACGTCCCATATGTTCTTTACATGACTCCTCGAAATTAGCTGATTTTCTGATGAAAGCTCATTGACCTGAAATGTTAATTGTTCCTGTGTCTATAGATGCTGATTGACCTAACTGTTTCCACAGAGTTTTCTGTTTTTATTCCTGATTTTTTATTCATATTGGCATTTAGAATTTTAATACTTATTACCTGATGTAAGAGGAGGCACAAAATATGTGGATAATAAATCACAAGGAGCAATGAAAAGATCTGTTATATTTCTTGATTTTGTATGAGCCACAATCATAGGCTTTAAATGTCGACTTGGTCAAGTAGCATTTGGTTTGCTGCTCACTGCAGGTCACTATATTCTGCGCATCACACATTAAAAGTTTTCAGGTATTCAGAAAATGTTGCAGCAGGTTGAAATTATTCCTGTCTCTGGCTGCGATATGTGGTTTGGACCCTCTGAGAATGTAGGCTAATTTTATATTAAGCCATCTGTGACTGCACTTGATAATGAATTGCCTGCTGAGTGTTGTGTTTTCTATTCTAAGAGAAAGAAGCATTAAAAAAAGTCTGCACTATTTGTGCAATTTGAGAACATAGCAATGAGGGGCTGGGCTCCCTGGACATCACACAGGCCTTAGAACCTGTAGAGATAGGTTAAAGGCATGGTACAACATGTGCGAATAAGTTGCAGATTAGTTGGTGATATTCCATAAAATTAATAAATTACTGCTTAGAGACTGTTTCAAGATGTAATAGATTTAGGTTTTAGTGTCATGTGTACTCAAGTACTGGGTACAAGAGGACAGTGAAAAGTGTACCGTGTCGCTACATGGCACTATCTTTGATACAAAATCTTAGTTACAGAAATAGAAAAATAAAAAAAGCTAAAAAGTTCAGCACTGCAGTCTTCTTAGCATAACGGTAGAAAAATAAAGTTAAAATTTCAAACATTGCAGTCCCTTCTTAAGCCATGCACTCCAAGCTGGGCTTTCCCTGAGAGGGCTTGCTCTCCTCCACACTGGGCTAAGACCCACCCAGTCACACCAGGCTTCGGCCTGGACCAGTGCATCGCCGCTGACCACCACTGCCGCCATCCCTCATGACCAACTGCTGCCCTTCGCCACTACTGCCTCATCGCTGACTGCCATCTAGGCTCATGCTGGGCCCCAACCGCCACCATGGTCCATCACTGCCTCCGCGGCCCCCAAAAAGGTAAGAAACACTAAAAACTAAATGAAAACTGTGAAAAGAAGAAAAAAAGAAAGGAAAGCGAGTGGAATGGATGAGATCTGGACTCAAGAGCCCGGATGCTGCCTACTCCACTGCCGCCGTCTTGAAAGTGAACTGACTTCCTTCCACTTTCAAAGAAATGGCCAATTCTGCCATGAATCCATGTTCTCATATTTTCCAGGTGGTGATGCAGGTAGCTTGGTTTTGAAAGTATGCATATTCCTTCAATTGTTACCTCATTTTGTAGCCTGACACATACTTAATTTCAAGGGTTGTGAGGGTCCAATTTGAAAAATTCGGACTGCATATTTGATTCCGTGGTGTATGTACTTTCAGGGCCAGGGATGCAAGTTAGCATTTTCAGGCCTATTGGTTTGATCACGAGTACAGTCATTTGAAGTGGTCAATACAGAGCAGGCAGGTTGTGATATCAGTTATTGGAAAATACCACCATGATGCATTTTTTATCTTCTGTGCTCCAGCTATAGCAGCCTTATGGCTGCTAAAACGCAGACAGATTGCTAACTTGGCTACACAGCAAGGGACGCTGGGTACATTGGCCAAGTAAAGCCCACACACCATACACACTGCAAACACAGCAGCCAGGTGCTAATGACATTAGCATAATGTAAAAGGCAACAGTTATTCTGACCAGACATACCCCCAACAACTTATCCACTAAACAAAGGATAACCCAGATAGAGAAGCACCGGGTCTTGCTGCACAAGGAAACTAACAGTAGCATGCCACCTAAATGATTAACTCTTGCATCAAACTACTAAGTGGATCCCTCTGATTGGCCAGAACTATAGAAAGTTCCAGGAAACCATCTAAAAGGTATAAAAACAGGGTTCACCTGCAGACGTCTCTCTTGGAACAGCTCTTGGAATTGTCTGAGACCTTCTGAGGAGACTGGCATGGCAAGAGTCAGAGACCAACTGACCATCCAGAGAGAGAGGTCTTCGCAGACCCAGAGACAGAGCCAGAGAGACAGCAACTGTGTAAAGCTGCAAGAGACTCAGGAGGTATTATAACCTTAAGGGGCCAAATAATATTAAAGGTTAGTTTAGCAATAAAGATTATTGTAACTTTGTTCCTAATAAAGTTGGGACTGTTTTGCATTGGCACTGGCTTGTGTTCATATTGATTTGACCGCTTCAGAATTTTGGAGCACCTGGGCAAATTCATTTATAACATTCTGGTCAGAGTTGTCTAAATTGTCTAAATTATTTAAAGAGGAACCAGACAATATAGCCAATGACCTCGCTTAATCTCACATCACTGCGATGTGCAGTGAAGGTACCCCAACTGCCATTTAATGGGATCATCCTCCACTCTCAAGTTGGTCATTGCTTGATGTTTCCTGGCCGTTGCTGAGTTAATTGAAGCATGTGGGGATTTATACTGCTATTTAAAGACTCTGATGCTTACAGGGAGTGGTGTGACAGGTGATGACGGTCATGGTTCTGAGACTCTTCTCTGGTCATTTGTTTTCAGACATTAACTACAGTGACTCCATCCTTGGCCTACAGCATGACAGGGAGATAGAGCAAAGAGAATTCAAATGAGGAAAAGGCTGTTTGAAGAGTGAAGAGGAGGAAGCAGAGAAGACATCTCAGGAGGCCATATGCACCCAGGGCCTTCAGCAAACAATTCTCCTCCATGAACCTTAGAGTGAACAGCTTGATCAATGTCCCTCTTTTGCTAGGGAGGTAAAATCCACCTCCTGATTTGTCACCTCAGTGCAGTGTCAGAATAGCATTGTCAGTGGTTGTGAAGGTGACTCTAAGAATCAATTTGTTTGTACTGGTCTCCCTTCAAACTGAAGGGGGTGGTATTTTCAACATCTCTCACCTATATGTGAGAGGCCTCTGACACTCTTTATGCTGAATAGCAGAAACTGCTACCTTTCAATGGAGACACCTTTAGTGGATAATCTTGAGCAGCTTTGGTCTGAGAAGGCCTGGCTTTGAACTGTACTATCTTGATATAGGCAGCAAATTACTGGGTTGGCAGATTGGCAGGCAACAGGAAGGGCACTGGCAGAGTGGCAGTGGTGGGGGGACTGATGATGGAGGACAGCACTTCACCGAGCCATGACCACTTATTTAGGGTGGCACCTCAAAAGTGCTAATAAGATATTGGAGAACAGATTACTGGGCTGCTGTGACACCCTCTCACCATGGTGGTTGCAGATTGAGTTTGCATGGCAACAAGCTTCATTTTTCTTGATCGTTAAAACTGGAAAGTGTGTAAAGAAGATTTAAGAGGATGTTGCCAGGACCAGTAGCCCTGAGTTATGGGGAGAAGTTGGCCAAGATAGTACTTTATTCCTTGGAATGTAGGAGAATGAGGGGGTGACCTTATTGAGATGTATAAAATCATGAGGGGCATAGACAGGATGAATGCATATTGTCTTTTTCCCAGGAAAGGGGAATTGAAAACTGGAGGGCATAGGTTTAAGGTGAGAGGGGAAAAATTTAAGAAGGATCTTCTTCACACAGAAAGTGGTGCATATATGGAATGGGCTGCCAGCGAAAGTGGTTGAGGCAGGTACAATAGCAACATTTAAAAACATTTTGATAGGTACATGGATGGGAGGGGTTTAGAAGGCTATGAACCAAATGCGGGTGATTGGAACTAGCTGAGTGGGCACCATGGTCAGCATGGGCCAGTTCTGGGCCGACTGGCCTGTTTCTATGCTGTATTACTCTATGACTTACACATGAGCTTCCATTGCTGCACCCAGATGTCAGGTGGCTTCTGTTTCTGCTGTGAAGGAAGCTGAGACAAGGGTTTAAGAGAAGGCGATGGCCTAGTGGTATTATTGCTGGACTGTTAATCCAGAGACCTAGCTAATATTCTAGGGACCCAGGTTCGAATCCTGCCACGGCAAATAGTGGAACTTGAATTCAATAAAAATCTGGAACTGGGGAGTCTAATGATGACCAATGTCAATTGTTGGGTAAAACCCATTTGGTTCACTAATGTCCATGAGAGAAGGAAGCTGCTATCCTTACCTGGGTCTGGCTGACACATGACTCCAGACCCACAGCAATGTGGTTGACTCTTAACCTTAATTAGCAAAGAGCAATAAATGCTGGCCGAGCCAGCAATTTCCTCATCCTGTGAATGAATTCAAAAAGATCATCAGATGCTACTTTTTTTTTGGGTCAGCAAATCATCTCAAGGAATCAAGGAACCACTTCTACACTGGAAACAATGGACTCCAGTTTCTGCAAACCCTTCTGCCAATTTGGTGCTGTACTTCTCTTGACAATGACCACGGGATTTGTGGCAGACACATCAATGTACCAGGCATACCCATTAGTCTTATAATGTAATAATGACCCTTTAAAGTCTTTTGAAGGATAAAGTGGGATGTAAAGCACCTATAACTAGTAGAGTGCTACAAAGATCAATGCTAGGACTAACTAGTTACAAGCTACATTAATGAGTTGAATGAAGGAACAGTGCGTGTTGTAACCAAATCTGCTGAAGAAACACAGAAAAGCAAGGAAGATAGACAGGGGACTAAAAATTTATCAGATGGAGCATGATAGAATATAAGATGGAATAAAATATTAAGTTGTCCACTTTGGTAGGAGGAATGGAAAATCACAATAATATTTAAGTAGAGAGACCACAGCACACTGTGACACAGAGGGATCTGGGTACCAACTTACATGATTTACTAAACGTTAGTAAGAAGCTATAGGGCAAAAAATAGGAAGGCAAATGAAACGTTGGCCTTTATTATAAGGGGATGAAGTTTAAATGCAGAGAAGCCTTACTACAACCCATACAGGGCATAGCTGAGAACTAAACCGGGAGTACTGTGGACAGTTTTGGTCTCCTTACGTGAGGAAGAATGTACTTACATTGGAGGTAGTTCAGCAAAGTTTGAAATGGATTGACTACTGGGAGTTACATTATGAGGAAAGGTTGAGCAGATTAGGCCTATATTCATTGGAGTTTAGAAAAATGAGAGGCAATTGCATGGAAACACACAAGATTCTGAGGGAGCTTGTCAAGGGTAGATGCTGTGGGGATGTTTCCCCCCACCCTCCAAGCCATGAGAGAACCTAAAACTAGAGGGCACATTTAAAAAATAAGGAGTTTCCCATTTATGACTGAGATTAATGTCTTCTGTCAAATGCTTGCTAATCTTTGGAATTCTCTGCCCAGAGACTGGATCACTGAGTATATTCAAGGCTGAGGCACTCTGAGTGTTGATCCTCAAGGTTGTGGCGGTGGCCGGGGCGGGGGGGTGCACGGGAGGGTAAGGGGCAAGTAGAAAAGTGGAATTGAAGCAAATATCAGACTGGGCATGATCTTATTGAATGGCGTAGCATGCTACAGTGGCCACAGAGCCTATTTATGGTCCTATTATTTATGCTTTTGTTAAATAAACTATTAATGCATACAGCAGGGTGGAGACAGTTAACCAGTAGGAATTTGGTACACAAATATGTATAAAGATAGTGTATTTGGATTCCACAAAAAATAAGAAATAAAACAAGTAGACCATCCACATATTAGTGGTAATGTAGTGTGGGCGATAACTAGAGACCAGGGACAAGTTAAGCAATGATTTTATCCTGCGGCTCAGGTGGATGTATTAAGGAGCAGTATTTAGCTGCTGAAGTTGACACATTAGGAGTAGAAACGCCGTCATCTGCAAGTTCCCCTCCAAGCCACTCACCATCCTGACTTGGAAATATTTCGCTGTTCCTTCACTGCCGCTGGGTCAAAATCCTGGAATTTTCTCCCTATGGGCATTGTGAGTCAACCCACAGCACGTGGACTGCAGCATTTCAAGAAGGCAGCTCACCACCACCTTCTCAAGGATAACTAAATTCTGGCCCAGGCACCAACCATCATGTCCCACAAGTGAATAAAAAATACAGTTATAACAAAGGATTTTACTTTTCAGACCGACTGGAAGAATCAGAACAGCTCATGTATTGAAAGTTTTTAGAATGTTTTGGGTACTTTTCCACAGTAATATCTGTTCGATCTGAGAAGGTAATAGGCTGGACCTTATTTGTTGATGAGCAACAAACAAGAATCAGCTAACAACTTTACAGCAAGAAAATAACTGGTGAATAGTGATCATTGCAGACACATTCTCACAACTTGGCTTTCCTACTTTGTTGGATCATCAGGAAATTTGGCTACAATGCACTCAGTTCCTCCATTCAAGTTTTTGATACAGATCATGAATTGTTGAGAACCCAGCATCAATCCCTGTGGTACTCCACTAGTTACAGTTTACCAATCTGAAAATGACCGATTTAGCTTAAGTCTCTATTTTCAGTTAGTTTGCCAATGCTCTATCCATTCTAATATGTTATCCCAATATCATCACATTTACTATAATAACCTTTCATATGGCACCCTATTGAAAGCCATTTAGGAATCCAAATTGAATGCCTTTTAGGAATACCATTTCTCCTTTATTCCCTTGTTACATCATCAAAAAGCTTTAATAGTGTTGTCAAGCTTGATTTTCCCTTCATAAAATCATTTTGACTCTGCTTGATTGTGTTATATTTGTCTAC